TCTCGTGATAAGTTTTGATCTATGAGTTACCTACTTAATCTTACCTAGGGGTTGTGATATGTGATCAATTGATGGAGAATTATGAATTAATCCACAAGGTTCAAGTATAAATAGAACACAAGTAGATCGTTAGATACTATTTCATGACCTACTATTTTGTTAAGGGTTTTAGCCTGGGTCATCTAAGAGGGAGGGCTCAAGTCAAGGATGAGTAACCGAAGTTCGTCACTGTCTAGCGTTAATAAAATGGTTAGTTTTTTCAAAAAATTTTATAATTCCTGGGTCGTTTATAAGGGTTCGGACACTTTTTTTTTATAATTATGAGGTCGTTAGACACTTTTTTTTTTATAATTATGGGATGGGGAGAACAAAATTGTTCTGATTTGATCCAAGGAAAGCTTTGTTGATCAGTAATAAAATAAATAAATTTTAGGTTTAATTGAAATTAAAGATCCAAGGAAAGCCTTGATGATCTGTTTATGAAAGAAAAGTGAGATATTGAAAGCAAGGATAAGCCCTGATAAATTTTAATTTAAAAGTTTGAGTTAGAGAAAATTAAAAAGTTCAAGTTTTGATGAGATTAGTTCCTTGAATTTTGCTGTTTTGTGTTAGGTGATGAAGCTGGGATGAGGAAAATCAAATAGTTTATAAAACTAACAATGATTTTTTGTCCTAAATAATTTTTGTATTTTGTATTTAAAAAATTATTAATTGAAAAACATGATTTACTGCAGATTTTGGAGGGAACAATTTGTACTCTTTTTATCAGTCCTTATTGTATAGATAGTAGGTTTAGCACCAAAAAGGTTGTTGAAGAATTTTTTCTTCAAATTGTTTTCATGTCGTTTTAATTTACTGTATAAAGTACTCTAAATACAGAAGTTTGTTCCGGTTTCCTTCGTACTATCATGTAGTATAGTGGTCCGATTCCTGATTGTCTTTCGCGCCACAGTCTTGGTCTTCTTTCAATACCTGGTTTTTCTTGTAATGTTTGAAACTTTGGGGTAAATTTATTGAGACGTAGAGACTTTTCTATTAAATTATCTTTTCCGTCTAGCCTTTTTGCAATTTTTGCAATTGTCTAATTCTATGATGAATTTTTTCTAAATCTAAGAAAAATAAGGTCTTGTTGGAGACTTTTGGTCGCACCAGAAGAGTTAAGACCTATTGGTTATACTCATAGAGTAATTTCAGATAAGGTACACCGTCTGCTAAGGTACGCCGTACATCTTATTTTCGGCCGGATAGATTCGTGCAACTTCTTAGTCTAATACCGATCTTAATCTTACTCTTATATCTTCTAGTCTGGATAAATCTAGTGTATACTGGTTTATGCGAGTTAATTCTTGGAGTTTATCCAGAAGGAGAACAACTGTATTCGAAGTTTTATTTAAACAGTTCTGGTGCTGAAACTACAAGTAGTTTAGGCACTTACAAATAAGTGTCAATAATGGAGATGGAATATGATTGGTTAGTTACAAATACTTTGTAGTGATAATCCATCAATAATAAAATTGGTTTATAAATACTAGTTTAGAACTGGTTCCATATATTTAAAAACTAATAAACGAATTTTTGTTCATTGTATAAATCAGCACAAAAATTCTCGTTTAGCTTTTTTTCTAAACCTCTCAAATAGCTGTTCATATAATCAATTAGTTGTAAGTAACCACTACCAGTCATATACATTTAGTGACTGAGCTAATAAATCTTGAGTTCTTCAATTTGTGATTTTTAAATCAATTGTAGAACGAATATCAACGGGGGACAAAAACTTGAACGGGAATCTTTAAACCCCCGTAACTTTACGAAAAATAATCAGAGGTGAAATATCTTTTCAAAATCTTTCGAATGATGTTTAAAAAATTCCGTCAAAAATGTCTAGTTTAAAAATCGAAATTCGTCTGAAGAAAAAAAACCCATTCCGAGCACAAATATTCCGTTACTTTCGTATCGAAAGTCGGAACAACAAGACAGCTAAAATTAAGCGGAACTTAGACATTAAGTTTTTTTTTTGCAAACGTCTAATTTGCAAGATGTCAAATTTGCTTGTCGTCTATTTCTCAGGCCCAAATATCAACTTAATTTACCACTGGTGTTACCTTTTCTCTTATGCGGTTAAAAATTCTCAGCTTTCGCCTCGAATGTTTTTACGCTTGTAGCATCGCGAGATCCAAATTGCTTGGAGAGGTTGTAATAACTCGATGTTCATTCGCATAATCTCTAATCATTTGGCCTCTTTAAAATTCAAACTATGAACAGAAAATTAAGCAAAACTATCTTTTGTTCATTATTTTATTTGATTCTGACAATGTTCAAATTAGAATGATGTTTTGGCTTTCGAATCCGTATAAAAGACGTGCGTTTTAAACAGTTTGTTAACTGGTCTGCACTTTGTTTAATACTGTTACCGCAGCTCTCTCTGACATGTAGTTTTCTATCTTTTTTGAAAGGTACGAAGCATAATAAAAACTGAAGAGCCATCTCGAAAAGAATAAATCCTTCTTGAGAATCTTCAGCTCTTGAACTTTTCCCGAAATCAATCAAGCCTCTCGGAGGTGAAAGCGTGAACAAAAATTGACTCATGAGTTTGTCTGGTTAACTCGTGAGTCTTATTATATCTACCTCACACGCACAAAAACAATCATGATTACAAAAAAGAGTCAAGTTCAACCTCATCCTCAGAATAATGGGCCACTACATACACAGGTGAGAAAAAAAACGTCGCAGTTGGGTTTCATTTTACAGACATATAAGTTCCTATCTTTATATAAAAGGACGTTTCATGGGTGCTCAAACCCTCAAAGCAACCTCTGAACACGCTTTTAAATCAAAAATTGAAAACTTTGGCATATATGAGCTTCTATGGGATAATATATGGGATATATGGGATAATTATGTGCTTCATAATTGCACTTTCTTTGGTGCAATTATGAAGCACATAATTATCCAAAACAGCGTTGAGAAACCCGTTCATTGAAAAAAAATTGGACAAGCTTTAGTTTTTAAAAAATCATTTAAAAATTAAAACTATAATGTGAAGCGATATCGATATATTAAGCAAAAACCAAAAAACTAATGGTTCATTTTGGTTAATTAGGATCTCG